CCTTGAAAACCCATCTATTCCATGCGGCCGGCCTGGCGTAGTTTTGATTGGGCTTTGCTAGGGGTTTTATATGGGGTATTTTAGAGCAGGCTTTTTATTCAATATTTATTGTGATTTTTATTATTGCCTGTTCACCGCCCTGAGTCCCGTAAGGGAGATAGGGCGGTATATAAATTTAAATAATAAATAAATAAAATAATAAATACTAGGTAGCATAATGGATTATAACATGTATTCACCAGGTATATATATATATATATATATATAAAAATATGAATTTGTAGTTCTAATTTACTGCTACTGCTAGGGCCAGAGGGAAGTTACAGCTATGTTTAAAATATACTTGTGTGAAAAACACGACACAGAACATAGAGACAAACTGAATTCAAGCACTGACATAATTTCTTACTTACCGTATTGCTCGTCCAAATGAAGAAAAGAGTGGGCAGGGTGGGATGTCAGCAGGTTTTCGGAAGGCCCAATAGTAAGAAGCAAAGGCACCGGCAAGGGTACATTGACCCAATGCGATTGAAAAATTGACCAGCCAGAGAAAGACAAACACATTGATAATTTGAAAGACTAAGATGTAGCGGTGGTATAGACTTTCTCCCCCGTAGAAAGCAAATGTGCACTGTGCCCCTGGGCATAGTTTGGTCACATTGGTTGTGTTGAAAGTCTGTTCAGGAACAAAAGAAAAAAACATCAATTGGAGACACGAAATGATCTCAATGTAATCTCAAACTGTGAATCTTTCCAATGTTAGGCGAATGGACAGAGAACAAAAGAGGGCAGTATTCAGCTAATGATTGCATACTGTACTGTAAGTATTAGGGATACTCATCTATTTAAAATTTGGGATAGTGAAATAACGGTGTATTGTGTAACATATTATAAAAACAGCTTGAGATAGCCTGCATAAGCACAATCAAAATACTAGATCTGATATTTATAAAAGAAACTCCGGAACTTCTGCATGCGATGGAAATTTTGCTTTAGCAGAATTCAAGATGTTACTATGTTAAAAAAATCTCAACTGGTAATTAATTCATATGGCAAATAATTCTTACAAACCATCCTTAATGCCTCATTTTAAGCAGTACTGTGTCTGTGTAGATGCTTCACAGGCTTCAGTAAATTTCTAGTTCTTCTAACAGTTTCAGAAAACTGTTAACAAAGTTAATCAAACAACCAATAATGTTTGGTCAAAGCAAGCCTCTCTGCATTAAATGCTACACCCGCTTATGATTATAGTAGACTAAAAAGATTCATTTGTATAAATTTGTCAGAAGGAATGTGGGGAATTTAAAGCATAGGGCATTATGAAAGCATAGGGCATTAACTAATGAAGAATTAAAATGTACATGGGTTTCTTTTACCCATTTGCTTACCTCTGGATAACAGGTCAAATTTGCATACTTGCATAAGCTTTGATTAGCCATAACTTTGTACACAGGTTCTCCTGAGGTAGCCAGGAAACTTGATTTAATTGGGTTAAGAACAAATAGAATCAGATAGTCACAGTATGTAATGTTCTATCAAGAGAAAGGCTCACAAAGAATACATTTGATTTCCTTTGCTTTTTAATGACTAGCACAAGATATGATAACCATAGCATGCGTGCATTTTCTAAAAACCTATTTGCCTGTTCTGCAAGTAATTAATGCACTCTTTTACTTAATAACAAGGGCATCTTTGCTGGTAATTTTGGGTACCAGGTGAAAAAGGAAATAGTGTAGTTCAAAGAGCACATACACAGTAGGGATACTGTGGTGAAAAATACTAAGAAAGTTCAGAAAAATAAAATAAAAATACATTTCAACAAGTTAAAAAAAATGAGCCATCTAATATCCCAAGACACTTCTACCCAAATGTAAAAAGGTCACAACAGTGCAAAACTTGCATTTTATGTAAGGATTTCACCCACAATTAATCAGTGAGAAGAGAAGTTCTGGGAAGAAATGTGAGCATGTAAATAAGGAATTAAGAAACCACTGAAGAACACAAAATATTCGTGTGCATAGTGAATTTTGTAAGGGTCTCTTCATTTATTCACTCGAACAAATCAAGTGTTCTCCAACTGCAATTTTGATGGCAAAAAAATATCACATGATACTTGACTCAGTTAAGTGTAAGAAATTGAAATAGAGATTTCTTCCTATGCAAAATGTAGCTTCTTCTGAAGGCGGTTAAGATGCTTGCTTCTTTCTTGGCTTAGCAAAGAACTATGATAAATTGGATAGATTTAAATTATGAAAATTTTGCATAAGCATGGATTGGTTTAAGATTGGTTACTGAATGCATTAAGAGCACACTCTAGTCTAAAGGATGCCATAGAATAAATGGAATGTTTAACAAATTGTTAATATTGAACGGGGGAATAACAAGCTTATATGATTTCCGCTTGATTCTTTAATACATTTAGGGATCAGTGTATAAGCAAAGCTTGTTAGAAATGTGTTGGTTAGGAAGGTGAATACATCTATAATTTGTATGCATATTCTTGACGGAGCATGTAAATGATTTCCAGCAAATGCAACAAATGATACGGATGTGAATAATATTGAATTAATCACCAAAGCACTTAATTCTGACAGGGAGATTGTGATGAACGATTGCAAGTTATAGATAAACTGCAAAAAAACGAGCGTATATGAATTTGTGTACTTCTTGACAAAATGCTTAGTACAATGGGAAATGGAAAGATTTTGACATGTGTAAATGATGGAGAAAAGTAATGGTATTGTGTAATCTTTCCGCAAAGAAAGATTATTGAAAGAACTGTGTAATAGCATGCTTCTACCCACTATGTTATATGTTACTGAGAGTATGTTAGACTGAGTTGAATGGCTTAAAAAATGTGTGTAGTAGCAAAAGAAGAAAAAAAAATAAACGAGTGAAGAATACAAAAATGGACTGAATACAAGAATGAAAACATGAAAAGAAGCATGGAAGAAGAATGTTGGTGTGGTCACAGAGAAGAATTAATTAGGACTGACGCGGTGGAATCATCGACTAAAGGAGATGAGGAAGTTAAGAGGCATGTCAGAATGGAGGAAACATCATAAACCAGACTAGTGAAGCCTTATTTGCTGGTTCCCAAGGGAATGCAGCCAGTCTGGTGAGATTCTTGTAATATAAGCGAACAATAAAAAAGAAACTGTGGTGGCCTAGTCATGAAGTTAACCTGGTACCTTGCATATGACAATTGTATTCCCACGTAACACCGCTGCTGCGCGAGCTGCACTGGTTACCAGTGGCCTTCCGGGTGCGCTTTAAGGTGTTAGTTACCACCTTTAAAGCGCTCCATGGCATCGGACCTGGATATCTCCGAGACCGCCTTCTGCCACAGATTTCCTCTCACAGACC